TCATATTTTGGATGTCCTGATTTCAGATCTTGGCCTGAAGACTGGGTAGCTGAGGTTTTTCATGGATTTCTCAGTACCTCCAGGCAAATGGTAGGATAATAACCTAAATTAGGCCATAATTGTTTCCTTTTACATCCTTTTCAGTTCATTATTTTTGAATCGTTGATGTTATATACTCAGCGCCATTGACAATGTCATTAAATAAACCAAAAATAAAATATAACACTGATGTTTATCGCACCTTTAAAGTTTACACAATCTGCATCTTATAATAGCTGAGTGAGAATTATGAAACAACTTTTGACACTATAACTTTTGTATGTTACATTTTATGAAGATCAGTAACCATGTGAACACATAGCGAGAGATGAGGACTTCATAGTTTTCTTTCTACTTACATATATATAACACTTCCATGCTTGTCATCCCTGGATTATTTAAGCTGTTATTACTAGGCACCTATTTACCTTCGCCTGTTGATTCCATGCGTGATGCAGTGTTGACAGTGTCACCAAACAGACAATAGCGAGGCATTTTGGTGCCAACAATGCCTGCAACAACTGGCCCTGTGTGGACACCACTGCGTATTTGGAGCCTTTCATTTGGACGGTGTGGAATCTTGAACATCACAGAACCTGCCAGAAGATCGAGTGCCATTGTTGCTATCTCTGTTACATGTTTGTCACCTGCATGAAGAAACAAGCAGTTTTTGATCTCTGCATAGAACATAGTTCCATGTTTCATTAATTAAATTGAAGTTTTTATGTTGTGGAAGAAGGCAAACAAAATATTTAAGAAAGAAATAAGATACTGCAAGTACTAACAAATTATGTTTGAATTCTTGATATAACTCTTGGGCACATTAGAAGGCCAAGCAGTTATCACATACCTTTAACTTGATGGCTTTTTTAAAAGTTGTTCTGAATAGTTATTTAAATATGGTTGCCAGGCTATAGAAAGGACACCAGAGGATCAAGGCAAGGATTTTAAATCTTTCAAGGCTTAGGGCCACATTCAACCTTTCTTATCAACTAATTTTATTACTTTGTTTCCAAAGGTTTAAAGGATAGTCTGTTGCTGCCTTCACCTGTTCCTTTCACCTCACCATTTTTTACGGGTAATCCTGATGCCACCATATAAGAGTCTCCAATTGTCTCTACTTTATAAACATCATAGCACTCAATACGTGCATCAAACATCTTATATATTGAATTGAGAAATGTCACGACCTGGAAGGAAATAAAGATTCCATGAATAAAAATTGATTAATGCTGTTACATTTACTTTACATGAGTCAATTTGTACATAAAGTAGAAAAAAGAAGAACACTTAGCAAGAATTAGACACATACAAGATCTCGTTAAGGTAATGGTATATATTGCCTTAAAATGAGTGGTTGAGATATGAGATTCTCGAAGCAATGAGAATGAATGGGTTGTTGTGCCATTTAGTCTGGAGAAGTTTACTTATGTTTCAAAGGTGTTTGCTGCCTATGTCATTAGGTAATGGTGGAAGTAGCAAGTACCTCTGAAATGTCAGTAAATTTCTATCAGATTACATGGCGCAACCCAGAAGACAGCTATCTTAAAGTGAATATTTTTCATGCACCTCTTCATTATTATGAGCCTTGGAAAATGAGGCTCTGTAAATAATTATGACTTTTTCTGGACTGTTGCCTAATGAAACTGAGTGGAACTCTACATAGGTTAAATATAAAGATGTTTATATATCTTCTTACCTCCAATGGAGTACTGATAGCTGCAATTTCTGTAAATCCAACAATGTCACTGAAGTAAACTGTGACAGATGCATAAAATTCTGCTGGAACCTGCAAAATAAACAAACAACTAAATGTATTATAACATAAAAAATAATTTGTGAAGTGTGAACATTGGTTGCTGCAGTAGCATTTTTCATTATTCTGCTGCTAGCCTCTGATGGCAATAAAACAGACACTTTGTGGCTAAGCCTCTCCCAAAACACTATTTGGAGAACTCTTAATATTTATGGGGTACATGGTAATATTTAATTCATATAAAACTAATTAACTTATAAACAACTCTTACATAAACAGATATTAAGCTCTCATGATGATTCATTTTAATGCTGATCCTATTTTGGGTGCTGGAACCATGTGAAAGTGGGCTGTGTTGCCAATGGCCCAGGCATCATCTCTTGCCTTCTCCCATCAGTCAGGAAGCACCATGTTTGCACACACACACATAAGCAACTAGAATGTATTATCATTCAGTACACTTAGATTCTGAAGATAGATGTAGCATGTTCCTCCAAAACATTGGTAACACAGTCGGTGGCAGTACTCAAAAACAGGCTCAACATTAAGTATACCTATTATATTATCACAGATAAGATAACAAGGTAAAGTATGAAGAATTAACATGTCTGCCTTGTATTCAGGAAGTATATGTTTTGAATCTTAGTTATAACTGTTTTGAGACTTTCTATGATTTTTCTAAGTCTTCACAGTTTTTAGCTGGCATTATGGGCTGTCATGTGTTTTGGTCTTACTTGGTCTTAAATAATTCTTCTGTATTGTATTACTTGATCAGGTTGTGTTTCTTAAGGTGTATAAGAGAATGAAATGTATGAGAGAGTTTTCAGATTAATCTCACATGTTTGAACATCAACATCAAACATAATAAATTGAATTTCCTTTAACATTAAAGACAACGATAACTGATATCACATATTACTTCTTGAGTTAGAAGATGGCTGTCTTTAGGGTTGTAGCACTGGTAAAAGTTTACTGATTTTCATGGGTGTTTTCTGCCGCCATCATTAGACCAATGATAACAGAGACAGCAGGCCCCAGATTACATGGTCCTACAACCCAGAAGACAGCCATCTTCATGGTTGCTGCCACAAGAACTTGAAGTCCTACCTGTTGAGTTTGTTTCAGCTGCTGAGCAACACTTGGAGGCAACATTTGGAACAGCAACGTGTCACTTATCCTCTTCTCTTTCTTCAGTTCCTTTGCCTTCTGTGCTAGATTAGCTGAGTACATCTGTAAAATGTGGACACAGACATTATATGGTATATGCAGTATATTCATAAAAGCCCAGTGTATTTTAAACTTTAATCATTTTTGGATACACCCATAGTAGCAGTAAGCTAATGTAGCTCTTTTTGTATTATGTCAGAATTGATACTCTTCTATTTAAATTTGGCTTTTGGGGATAACTTGTGTTGATTGATGAAAGTTTTCCAATGTTTTGGTAAACAATGCATTTGCCATCTTCAGGATGAATGTCTGTGGCAGGAGATTAAGAAGTTTGAATAAAGTTCTGACAAAGGGACTTGACTTGGAGTTAGCACCCTGCTCCTCTGTTTGCCCAGTCACATCAGTCATGTCCTATTCAACTTCCATTGCTAGAACTATCTACGGGCTCAGTTCACTTAAAAATGGCAATTACAGAGCCAGCCAGAATATTAGGATACCTTCAGCAAGTGACATATCTTGTCATGAAAACCAAAGTTGTATGTTCTGCATCTGTAACTGACTAGAAATGTCAACAAAATACAAAGTTTGCTGTGAGACGTTGTATTGCCAGTAAATGTAAACAAAGACAAAACATCTTGTAAGCTCATTCATATAATTTCACTATGAGAATTTTGTGCTATTTTCACTGTAGGACATTTAATTCAACATTTTTATGTTTTAATGACTTTTATCAATTTATTTCCAAGCTACCACCACGTCTGCTACAGTCTCCTCACTGGTTTAAGACTTCTTGGGTTGTATTCTTTAAACTTTATTGACTCTCTTGCAGGTTACGTATAATGATGCTGACCTTGTCAGGGACTGCATAAGAGTCTGTGGTATTATGAATTTTATACTGAAATTTCCTCTGCTGACAGTTAAGGAGGTAAGGGCTTACCCTGTTGAAAATGGTGGTGTATGTAGGAAGCAGTAATGTTGTTCAGAGTCATGCTACTTGTAGTTTGGATGTGAAGGTAATGAACTTATTAATCTGTTTCATGTTAGTTTCTGATGGAGAGGGTGCACTATACCTGAATAGTGGCAACTGCATTGCGCACAAGGACGATGATGATGGGTGAAACTAGAAGCACAAGAACTAAGATGGCTATGCCATAAGCTTCCTTGTGGCTAGCATCTAATAAATTAGAGTTTACATAGTCACGAATCTTGGCTCGAAGTACACTCTGTAGTTTGCGTAGTTCATCCACATAAGAAGCCATATTGTCAAAGTAAATTTTGGCAATCTCATGACTTTTGTTGCGTCGAGAGTTACTAAGAATCTCTTCCTTTCTGCAACACATTAATCAGAAATGTAGCAAATATGTATTTTTTTCACATAAGAATGTCATATAAATTATTTTAACTTCCTCCCACTAAAGGATCACAGTGAAGGCATTGTCTTGTTCCTAGAGCCCAGCTGTTCCCATTTTCCCCACTTTAATCACACAATTATCAGATACTCATACATTCTGACCTCGTCCTGATATTTCCATAATCATCCATCCGTGTGGTGAGATCCCTGTATAGCTGTCTAAGAGATGGAACATAATTGAGTGAGCTATTCAGGAGATCATTTCCCAAGGCTTCATGACGCACATAATGGATGTAGCTTGAATTGTGAAGTTCTCCTCTTGCAAAGTAATTGATACCATATACCATGGAAATACCAATGTTCTCAATACTCCTCAGCAAGTTCTTGAATGAAATTAAGTATCTAAAATTGGAAAGTAAAGCACATCATAAAACACTAGTAATTGGCCCATAGAATAGGATCTGGACAATTTTTATAAGCATGCAATATTACATGAAGCAACACTTTTGCTATCATACAGACACTGGGGCCACAAACTTCACATTAAGAAGGAAATTAAGTTCATCAATGTTACATTGGCATTGTTTATTCATGTATAATTGATATTTTTGAATGAATTCAACAACCATCACATTCGGTATATCAAATATACCTCTGGCAACGTATAGTGTCCAAGATATGAGAAATAGTGTCGTAATATTTAGAAAAATACAGCATACCTCCACACTCCACTGTTGTCTGTCTCTTTAATCTGATTGGTGAGATGATCCAACAGAGCAGCATTAACAGATGTGTACCAATGCAACACCTCCAAGATACTACTGTCACTGACATTTGACCTGCAAGCACAAACCCTTGTATTAAACCAGACGATGTTTAGAAATGTGAGATACACAATGAAGAAATAATGATCAGCATGCACAAAATATAACAGAATAGAATTATTTACATTCCACATTCCACAGATCCTTCTTAGGACTAAACCAAAGATGTGCAATATGTTATAGTACAAATACAATAATTGTTTCTAATTCGAACATAAATTACATAGTTCTGACTGTAATTTACGTTCTATTACAGTATTACTACAAAAATAATTGTACAGGAAAACATCACCATTATTCTCGACAGGTATTATTAACCACCATAGAAAAGTATTTCGGGTAGTTATTTGTGAAATTTCCTGATCATCCGTAATTATTATAACCATTCTAATTAATCTGCTAAATCTTCTACATTTAAATATCGGATTATGTGTGAAGTTAAATTTCAGCCACAAAAGGCTGAATCATATAACGTGTAGTGTCTGCAGCAACTGCACATAATGAATGCACTGTTAATGTGATGCATTATTTTCCTGTGTGGCGTAAATATTTGAACCTATTTAAACAAGCCTCAACGAGATGATTAGATTTAACCAGATGTAACCTATTTTCAGCAAATCTTCGCCTGTGATATTCGTAAGTACAACTAGATAATATGTGTGAGGAAGTTTAATGAAATTTGAAACAGATATGCTATTTGTGACTAACGCAAAAACGTAAATAAACTTTTCAAAGTCGACAACACAAAAGCGAAAATAGCTCAAAGTAATGAGATATAATGATGAAAACACCATAATACTCGGCTCCTATGCACCACTAACCAATTTTAACCTAACCAAATCTAACACCAACTCATCAGAAGGGATACCCGTCAACGCATGTCCACAATAAAGAAATTACCTTGCTTCTACAAAAAGTTTTCGGCTGGTTAACTGCAACTTTACATTGTATTTATTTATTTTATTATTATTTTTTTGCGAAGAAGTGACTGTTTATAGGTACTGTACTTTTCTTTGTTTCGACACGTCTTCGTCGTAATGAATGAGTTGTACTTGAATGTACCTTGATTTGTCTTTATATACCAAATAGGTTAATAACAACAGTGTCATTCTCACCCCCGCTAGAGTGGTGTATTGCCTCTTGCTGAGCAATAAGGTGACAGGTAATCCCTAGCTCATCGTTATTGCACAGAGAAGGAGAGCTTTTATTTTCAATTAACTCACCACGATCAATTTCCCAGTCTGTATACTTCCCCCACGTAATATACAGTGAGTGCTTTAAGGTTTCTCATGCAGCCCTGAGCTTTCCACACCAATAAAAGTTGCTATTAACTTTGCACTGCCGTTATTTTCTATCACTTTCTACCCGTCTATGAACCTACACACCTATAATATTCACCTACAGTCATGGGTTGCACAAACAGATTAAAAATTAATTAAAAGCCACCCTATAAAAATTAATAGAATAATGTTTAATGCCGTTTTATGGAGTGAGAGGACCCGTCAAAGGTCCCAGGATTATTTTAAATGAATATAAATAATTTTATTGTAAATCAAAATCAATTTCATGTGAAGAACTACGAGTAGTGTTTATGACTAATATTCTGGGCTTCGCCTATCTTCTCAGTTTTTAACACTAACTCCATGAAGCAAAGTCCTTGAGAAGCTAATAGTCGCTTAGCTAGTCAAGATGATAGTTATGAATACTCCCAGTCAATCTGCCCAGCACCTTGACTACAAAAAAGTTTAAAGATATCGTTTCTTTATGCATGAAAATGAAAACGCATAATTGAAAATCTGCGATATATAAATCAATCTGCTATAAAAACGCGGATTAAATTAAAATTATACTTGTTCTGTACGGATGTGCGTACTGAAATAAAAAATGGTTATTATAATTAAAATCAAAACTGATGTAAATCTCGCTGGATATTTACAGCAACAAATTGCAAGTAATCCAGACACTTTTTAGTCCACATTAGACCAACTGCAGAACAGGAGAAACGGGGCACTCCAGAGAAAATATTTTATCGGGCAGATTTTGTACATCTTAAATCCAATATGAAATGACAGGTCTGGATCCAGATCCTCTTATTTAAAGACTCTGTGCTCACAAGGCAAGCTTTGCGGACTATTATATCAATTGCTGTGAAACGTTTCCGGAAATAATGATATAATTGAGATATTGCCTTACATAACATTGATCATTTACGATAGCTTGAATGCATTAAAACCCACGTAGTTGATGAGTGGTCGAGACCACACCCAGCTTTTCTGATGAACTACAACCATTAATGGAACCGTAAAGTTATATATTGCTCCAGAAAGAAAAGAAAAATAATGTTTTAATACCATGTCAGTTTTCGCTGTCTGTACGACTCGTATAATTAAAGTTCGTAAAACTTTAATTAAAATTTTATTTTTTCAGCGTTGTTGCGAAATGTCTCTAAATTGATGCCAGGTTTATGTCTCCATTTGCAATACAAATACGTAAACTCTTAATATACTTAGCTAATTGCCGAACATACCCGTTATCACAGCTAAACTTTTCTGGTAGTAGAACCTGAAGATTCGACCAACAATGTCAACAATCACATTTGTACGTGAATTTCGTCTTGTTACATCCATTTCCTAATCTCACAATCTATTTCTGGAAGACCCATATAACGATGTCCTCCCGTCTGATTTTTTTCCAAGCGGCCATATTAAAAGAAGTTTCTCCAGTAAAATGCTGTATGCATTCTTGTGAAGTGCCCATCCCATTATAGTCTCCGGTGTTATCATATTTCACCATACCAGAAATAATACGTTACCTATATACAAACAAGGAGTTCCTTGTTATAGAAATTCTAAATCTGTTGTTTTAACGTTTTACAAACGTATTTATCCTTGAAGATTTCTGTCTTCTGGGTTGTTGCGCTGTGTAGTATGGTCGATGTTAACCAACGTTTCAGAGGTCATACTGCCGCCTTCATCAGGGCGATAAGTATGAAGATTTCTGTCTTCTGGGTTGTTGCGCTGTGTAGTCTGGGAGAAGTTTACAGACGTTTCAGAGGTCATACTGCCTCCGTCATCAGAGCGATTCTTAGTATGAAGATTTCTATCTTCTGGGTTGTTGCGCTGTGTAGTCTGGGAGAAGTTTACAGACGTTTCAGAGGTCATACGGCCTCCATCATCAGGGCGATTCTTAGTATGAAGATTTCTATCTTCTGGGTTGTTGCGCTGTGTAGTCTGGGAGAAGTTTACAGACGTTTCAGAGGTCATACGGCCTCCATCATCAGGGCGATTCTTAGTATGAAGATTTCTATCTTCTGGGTTGTTGCGCTGTGTAGTCTGGGAGAAGTTTACAGACGTTTCAGAGGTCATACGGCCTCCATCATCAGGGCGATTCTTAGTATGAAGATTTCTATCTTCTGGGTTGTTGCGCTGTGTAGTCTGGGAGAAGTTTACAGACGTTTCAGAGGTCATACTGCCTCCGTCATCAGAGCGATTCTTAGTATGAAGATTTCTATCTTCTGGGTTGTTGCGCTGTGTAGTCTGGGAGAAGTTTACAGACGTTTCAGAGGTCATACTGCCTCCGTCATCAGGGTGATGATTCATCGCACACTAGTAATTGGTCTACATGCCTCCCTCGTATTCGATATATTTACGATTTATTTGATATTTTCTTCCCATCTAAGCTTAGGTCTCCCAATTAGACTCTTACCTTCAGGATTTCCTACTAAAATGTTGTATGCATTTCTCTGCCCTATGTGTGAAACGTGCCTCGCTCATGTCATATTTGATCACCCTAATAATATTTTGTACGAAGTAAAAGTTAAATTAAATGATAATTCAGAACAATATAAAGACAGTAAACTTATATTTTATCTTTACATTACTGCAATTTAATAGATCTTGACGTTTAGATGAGACACGAAATGGTTCCATTTATGGAACTGTAGGCCCATAACAACACATCGTAAAAGCGAGCAGGTCTGTAACAAACACGACGTTTCTGGATTCAAGGAAAGCAAGATGCCACGTTACTTTGCCCCGTTTTTCGGTTCGTTTGCGTGGCTGTAAGTGATTTGTTCCTCTACGGGAAGAGACCTTTGTCAGAGTCAATTTGGAATGCAAATTAGGCGCTCGACGGGAAATTTCATTACCCATTTTCGCGGCAAGTACATCCCTTTCCACGCTTGATCGTAACTGAAATACAGCAGTTGTGCATGTTAACCTTATCATAGCATTCGAATGTGCATTTTACATGCGTTTTTGTACAGATGCAAAACAAACGAATAACCGAGAGACCTGTCCATCCATTCGCATATTTCATTTCTGAAACTATGAACTGATTTAGAATCTTTATCGGTTTTTCGAGGTCTACACTAAAATATGTAGACTTTCATTTGTATTGGCTAAAAATAAGTCATAATTTACATGATATCAAAGAATTTTATAAGTTGTAAACATGCATGTTGTAAAATAGGCCTATATTGGGTCAGTGGTTAAAGAGAAACATTACGTATCCGTTAAGGATGGTGCATTAAAATGTGGATTATGACGAAATGGAAGGAAAATTTCGTGGCCTATTGAGAAAATGCCAGCGTACGATTGAAAAGAGTTTCAGCGAAAGCAAGCGCCCAGTGTGAAACTGAATCCCTTTTCTGACGCACTGTATCACATGCCAACAAAAACAGCTTGTCACTTGACGTACAGCACCATCAGAAAGCTTATACGTTTCAGGCGAGATTGGAAATAAAATATATCGCTTGTAGAGTGTGAAGAGATGTTCCATCTTCGCAATATCCTTTGTATTTTTAAGACTTTGAAATATGTGACACACAACAATGGAATAAAAGAGAATGAAGAGTTAGAAGAATAATAAAATCTATTGTTCAGTAAATAATCGGAAGCATTATGCGGTACAAAATTTGGGGAGGCGGCTTCATTTGTTAAAACTTACTTGCAGAATGTGTTTTAAATACTTTGGTAATCAGTAATTTAAGGGTATCGATTAATGAAGGGAGTGTTTTACAGCTGAATAAATGCTGAGATTTAAGATGCGAAATTTTTTATGTTCTTTTGCCTAAAAACTTTTGTAAAAGACTGTCAGGTCATACATGCATATCCTACTGTAGTTTTCCTCTAAAATTTTGTAAGCATTTCTTATATTAACATATCTTGCCAATCTCATTTTCCTTTGTTACAGTACCTTCAAAATGTTCTGTGAGAAGTACACCTACACATTAGGAAAATCCTCGTTAAATTTTCTTAAGCTTCCTTTCACTTCCTGTTAGGTCCAAATATTGTTTTATGTATTAAATCATTCGTTTTATTGTCAAATTTCATTTAGTAGTAAGCTTTGCGGATTGTCGGCAAAATTTTATACACATCAACCTTTTAGAGCTCAGTGGTCACTGTATGTACCGTCTACTTTAACGCTCGGTAATTCAGCATTTTGCCTACAGAGTGTATTTATGAATTTCGATTGGTTCACTGAAAAAACAACATATATAGCATTAACCAATATATCTTTCTATTAGACACCGGTGTTGTTTTCTTTAACAGTCGGTAACTTTGCATTTTGTATTTATGGATTCCCTATGGTTCTTAGTGTAAACAGGGATTGTTCTCTTAAACAACGTTGTCAGCTTGTCTTTGTAATGGAGTCGCGATGTGTTTCCTTTACGATGTTGACTGAATGTTTAAACATTTATAAGAGTTTCGGCTTCAGAGGGTTAAGAAAGTGTAATCTGTGCAATGTAGTGCAACTTAAATTAATCTAAATTCGCCGACATTGCCAAGTCCTGGCAAACAAGACAAGCCCAACCATGAAAAAGAGACGTATTAAATAACAAACACACCCTTTCAGTACGTAAAACGCGATACCTGTCACAGCCATTCGCTTATTCTTGTTTCAGCGATTCATACAACCCGGAAACGCAGTCTGACGAGAACTAAATTACGAAATCTAATTACTAAAATGTGATTCATCACTTCGAGTGACAAGCATCACCTCAATTTCTCCCTCGCTTCACTGTATACAGTATAACTCTTCGAGTGCTCGAAATAAAATGATACAATGCGTGCAATATTGCGATAAGGTACGGAGAAAACCTTCATAAATATCGACGTAGTTCAATACAACTGCCAAAGAATACGTTGCTAGACAACGTTTGCCTAAAGCAACAATAATAACTGACAAGTAATTACAGCGGTGACGTATAGAGTCACATTCATACGAAGTACGCCAGGGACCAGCAATGCTGTCTTATGCTTTTCGTGATACTCTTCAGTCACTCCA